GGAACCGGCTTTACTGACGAGATGCGCATGACAATCCTATGCAATATTTCACCCAGTCCTACATACACGCAGCCTGCATCCCAATTTGCATACTATCAGTACTAAGTAGTATGAAAGTAGATTTAGTATGTCCCATACCTGTTACACTCAAATTTCCATACTTTCTCATATCAAAAACAGTACATTCGGCATAGGGCATATAGCCGAATTGGGACGCAGTGTCACTCTCACGCAACGCACGCAAACACACACTCACACTTTTTTCTCGCCCATACAGTCACACACACGAGATGAAAACTTACCAATGGCAATATGCAATCTATGCCCGAAACACTGTAGCCTTGTCCATTCATTGAGCTGTGCTGCTTTCACCATATTTGTTGCATTGTCCGTCGTAATGCAGACAAGGTTCTCTTCGTGGAGATCCCAGCTAGCAAGCCCCTTTCTCAGGCCGGCTGCAATATTTTCCCCTGTGTGGTCTTCTGGGAAGTAAGCAGTTTGAAGGCAGCGAGCTTTGAGGTCGAAGTCTTCAGTAATGAAATGCACCGTAAGACTTTGATAGGGCTCCGCTGAGAGACTTGACCACATGTCGGTTGTTGCGGCGACAAACTCTTGTTGCTTTCAGCTCCGCAGCGACTCTGTTTACATTTTTTGTGTAGCTCTGGTATGGCGACCTGGCAAAAATATGTGCGTGAGGGCAAGCTGTAACGTTTATCCAGTGTGTTGATTAATGCCGCGAACCCAGGCTTTGTCACCGTATTGATGGGCATCAGGTCTTTCGCGATGAATTCTGTTACCGCTTTAGTAATTTCCACGTGGCGTTTTGAAGTGTGTTCATAAGGAGTTACACTTTCAAACATTTCTGTCAGTGATGCCTGCCTGGTGGTAATTGGCTTACTTGAACCGGTCTGCTGCATGTTAGATAAGCAACTATCATGCATGGCTTTGTGGTGTTTTTTCAAGTGCTGAATCAAGTTTGTTGTGTTACCACGTGAGGTAGCAACGCTAGCAAGGCAGGTTTTGCACAATACCTGACGCTGCGCGACATCTTCCTTTTTAAACCCAAAATAGTCCCACACAGCGGAACTGCTGCTCCTCTTTGGCACTAAAGTTTCTGGTTCAGGGTCTGGTTGTGTCGAGCCCGAGGCCATTTTACAGCAGGTCAAGTAACAAGTTATGGTACAGCTAGTGTGACAAGATGCTGCGTCATCTGCAGATTGCGCTCGCGTGTCACGTGACCAGACTATAATTGCACCTATTGCGATTAGAAAATCGTGTTTTACGTGAAGGCGATTTAATCGCAATGCAATTAATCGTTCCCTACTAGTTTCCATACATCAGAGCTTCAGAGCTGGAACCTTGAGGTGACTCGCTGATTATGGGGAAAGACAGAAAAATAATTAGCAGCTATTTTGTTAATAGGTTCAATGTCAGTTCTAGAACTTTTCCAGCAGTGGTGCTGATGTGCATGAAATCCTCTTAAAATTACAGAGCACTTACAATTTAACATCCAAAGGAAACCTCTCCTTATTTGCCGCAAAGGCGACTAGTTTACATCCATGGTCACCGTCATCTTTTGGTTGTTTTAATGAGCCTGTCTCTCAGACTCATCTAACGAGAAGTGTTCAGGCCAAAGTGTAGTCTCATGTTGTGCCTCTTTAAGTTGGCACCCCGTATCATCAGGATATAAGTGAAACCTTTCAGATTCGTTTGTACAGGCAAAACAAAAATTAAGAGCTCAAACCCTTCAGCAGCTCATTAGTTTGTGTTGTGCTCATTTGTGCAACAAAACTAATGTCTGTGCTGTCTCTAGTTCTGATGGGGTCTGATGCTCTCAGGTTAGATCAGATCAGATCTAATTTATTTATATAGCACTTTAAAAACAACATCCAGCTGACCCAAGTACTTTACATAGCAGAATAAAATCACAATAAAAAGAATAAATAAAATCGGTGCAAAAAAAAATGTTTTAAGCAAGGATTTAAACGTACTGAGGTCAGTAGCTGACCTAACAGGAAACTGGGTTGAAGATCTGAAGGACCTTGTAGGTTTATGCCAATGCACCAATTCAGTGAGGTAGGATGGAGCCAAACCGTTAAGAGGCTTAAAAACAAAAATCAATAACTTAAAATCAATTCTAAAACTGACTGGAAGCCAGTGTAGTGAAGCCAGTACCGGGGTTATATGCTCAAATTTCCTAATACTTGTCAAAAGACGAGCAGCAGCATTTTGCACCATTTGGAGACGAGTGAGGAAGGATTGGTTAACACCATAGTATAGAGCATTGCAATAATCAAGTCTAGAAGTGAACAAAGCATGGATTGCAGTCTCAGAATCATTAAAAGAAAGGAATGACTTGACCTTGCTTAACAGCCTCAGGTGGAAGAAGCTAGATTTCACAACTGAGTTGCTTTGCTTGTCAAACCTCAAGTCGCCATCAAACATCACCCCTAGATTTTTTACAAATAGCACACACTCAGTTGTACTTTCGTTGAGATTTAAAAAGTTAAGTGCCAACCATGATTGCAAGTCTGTCAGTCAAACAGCGGCTGTAATGACATCCCTCTTGATGCCTTTAACGGTAAGTAAATCTGAATGTCATCAGCATAACAATGAAAAGAAAGGTCATATTTCCTTAAGATAGATCCCAGTGGGAGCAAGTACAAGGAGAACAAAATGGGACCAAGCACAGATCCTCGGGGGACACCGCAGGAAAGGATAGTTGAGGACGATGAACGGGTACCAACATTAACAGTAAAACTTCTGTTGGTGAGATAAGATCTGAACCAGTTAAGAACAGTACCTTGAATTCCTACACACTGCTCCAAACGAGATAGGAGGCTTTCATTATCCACTGTATAGAAGGCAGCAGTGAGATCTAAAAGCACCAATAAAACCGAATCCCTGGCGTCCCTAGCCAACAGGATATCGTTACTGATTTTTAATAATGCAGACTCAGTACTATGTTTTGATTTAAAACCAGATTAGTTATAGGCATTGCACACCGGGAGTTTATGAGCAGACACGAGTCAGCACGTTGGAGTTATTTAAACGCTAATGGGGTGCCGAGGCCTGCGTTTAAAAGTCAGCGTTTCAGTTTCATTTGTTAAGTGGTGAGGAGCGCAGAGGTGTGGTGTTCAAGAGGACTCTGTGCAAACTGCACTGTGGTGCTGTCTAATTCAGGGGTGGGCAAACTTTTTGATTCGCAGGCCACAATGGTTTCTAAAATTTGACAGAGGGGCCGGGCCAGGAGCAGAAGGATGGAGTGTTTGTGTGAACTAATATAAATGACATATAAAAGCCATTAGATAAAAGGTTTTGGCCTTTAACAGGTAGCAAAGCATGAATATGCAAGGCTTATTGTACAAATTATTCTCCAAATGCATTTTTTTCATAACACAAACCTTCAGTTTCAGTGGGAACAGTGTTGTTGATCAAAGTCTGGTGTTGAGGCACTTCTCAGGATAGATCTGAGGTGTTGGTCAGTTAACATGGATCTGTGACTGGCTTTGTTGATGTTCATGACGCTGAACGTCTGCTCACACACATAGGTCGAGCCAAACAACGCCAGCATCTTCTGTGCCGTCCTCTGAAGGTTTGAAAACGTGGCTTTGTTAAGTGAGGCATAAAAGTCATTCAGTTTAAGAGAGTTGAACTTCGCCTTTAAAATGGAGTCAGACTGAAGATCGATTAGTTCCAATTGCAGCTTCTGTGGTGCTGTTTCAGGGTCTTGTGACAGGGGACAGGACACCAGCTGAAGGGACTTGTCAATTTTTTAAAAATCAGAGAATCAACAGCAGAATTCTTTGTCCAGTGATTTGCTGTATTTCTTCGCGTTTCGGGTGGCTAGTGTGGAAAAATGGGTGAAAGATTTGTTTGAAATTTGTCTGGAGAATAAAGTCAGCTTGGATTTGAAGGCTCTCACATTTGTGTACATGTCGTGCACAAACTGTAGCTTCACGTTCAGCTCATTCATGTCATGTCGTGCACAAACTGTAGCTTCACGTTCAGCTCATTCATGTGTGAAAAAAATGTCCACATCAAGCGCAGTCACAAAGGCAGTTCTTGTTGCTCAGCTCAGGAAATTCGTCGGATTTCCCCATTAACTCCAAAAATGTGCTAATCTCCTCTTTGAGCTCAAACACTTGTTGAGACACTTTGCCCAAACTTAAACAGCAGACATGAGAGTGGTAAAGTAAGTCCTGGTGATCCGCATCGGTTTCCTCCACGAACGCAATGAACTGACGGTGCTGAAGTCCCCTTGATCATATAAAGTTAACAAGTCTTACGACTGGATTCACGACATGATTAAGCAATATAGACTTACACAGAGATTCCTGATGAATGATGCAGTGATCTACCATCTACTGGGGGAAACGCGGGCATTGCAGGGAAAAGGCAAAACGAATGAGGTTTAATGATAACATAATTTAATAATATAATTTGGACAAGTTCGGCGGGCCAGATTAAAAAGCCTAACGGGCCGTAGTTTGCCCATGCCTGGTCTAATTAGTGAAACATGCAGGTGTATGGAACAGGCTGTGCATGTTGATGAGGAGCATGACAGACGTAGTTTGGCTTGTAACAATCACTCTGGATGGTTGGAAACGTTCACTGTGTTAATCTGTTCTGGTGCTGTGTTCAGTGAAAGACTGGGTGTTGGGGCAGGTAGGTCAGTCGGCGTTGTCGCTGAGTGAACGGCCTGTGTCAGACCGCTAACGCTGATGTCACTGTCAATGTCTGTGAACATCAATGATGCAGCAGTGCTCAGAATTGTGACTCCACAGAGAGGAAACTGCATCATGTGAAAAATGCTTCAGTTTCTGCTGCTGCACATCAGATCAGAATAAACAACTTCAACTGCAGGAAGCAGGGTTTGTCAAAGTTATTGAGATTTTATTGACCAAATGATTAACTGATGACAAACATGATGTTAGTTGTGGGTCTAGAGGGAAACCTTTACTTACTGGTGAAGGCTTTATTAGTGCTGTAAAACAGAAGTCAGAGCACACGTGGCATTGATCTCTTCACGTATTTGAGCCTGTTTTTTCACGACTAAAATAAGAATGCTGTGCATTTATGTGACATTTTAGTTTTTGGTCCAAACCATTAATGAACAAGATTCCTGTTAACTTTGTGCACTATTATGAAGCAGTAATTAAAACGCTGATTGATCAACAAGTGACATTGCAGAGAAGAACTGTTAAAGTGTTAGATTTTACGCTTTTCGTTAGAAATTAACCCAGTTCTTTTGTTGGAAGCACGAGAAGTGACGACAGGAGAGGACTGTTTAAAATCAACAGAAAGTTTACTGAAAGTCTGATCACAGGAAAGTCTGATCACAGGAAGGTCTTTACAGCGCTGGATTCAGAGAGCCAGAGCTCCCGCAGGAGATCTGACTTCTGAGCCCCGAGTCATGTTTTTATATTACATTTATACTCTTGGGCTAGGTCCGCCCCAAACAAAGGTCCCACAGTTCGTGCTGAAATGCGATCGAAACCAGGTGTGTGTGTGTTGTCATGTGATTTTCCAGGCGGCAGCTGAACAATGGGTCCTCTGTGCTGCAGACCCCCTATCTGTGTAATCCCATTACAAGACAAAGCAGGACCTCATGAATAGTCAGTTTCTACTTCAGTATCACTTGACTCTCATCAGTACAATTGGAAACTATACATGCAAGGAAAATAAATGTATTAAAGTAACCAAGGCTCAGTAGTTCTGGTCAATCATCAGTACAGTTTTACCATGTGTAAGCAAGGAAGGTAAAAGTATGAAAAGTAACTAAAAGACAATGAAGAACTGAAAAGTAACTAAAGATTACAAAGTAACTAGAGTCTATAAGACTCAAATCTTACAAAAGGACACAGCTGAACCCTCCTCTTCCTCCTCTAGGCGTATGATGCCACTGTGTTGGTGGCGTCATACTCGGGTCCTCAGCTCGACATCTTCATCGATCAGGGCCGCGATGACCAGTTCCTGTCATCCAGCCAGCTGCTGCCCGATAACCTGATCGCCATCTGCTCCGAGAAGAAAATCCCCGTCATCTTCAGGCTGCAGCCGGTGAGTTCCATCACTCTTTCAAAGTAAAAGCTCTGAATCTTTGGTTAAATCTCAGGAAGGCTTGACTCATTGCTCATTGGCTCAATATAATAAAAAGAATATTTTAAATTTAGGTATTAAGATGGATCCTGATTTAAGATTCGACAGCCAGATTGCAGCTGTCGTTAAATCTAGTTTCTTTCAACTAAGACAGTTGGCTAAAGTAAAAGCATTTGTCTCTAGACAGCATTTTGAGATGCTTTTATCACTTCCTGTTTGGACTATTGTACAGTGCCTTGCGAAAGTATTCGGCCCCCTTGAACTTTGCGACCTTTTGCCACATTTCAGGCTTCAAACATAAAGATATAAAACTGTAATTTTTTGTGAAGAATCAACAACAAGTGGGACACAATCATGAAGTGAAACGAAATTTATTGGATATTTCAAACTTTTTTAACAAATAAAAAACTGAAAAATTGGGCGTGCAAAATTATTCAGCCCCTTTACTTTCAGTGCAGCAAACTCTCTCCAGAAGTTCAGTGAGGATCTCTGAATGATCCAATGTTGACCTAAATGACTAATGATGATAAATAGAATCCACCTGTGTGTAATCAAGTCTCCATATAAATGCACCTGCACTGTGATAGTCTCAGAGGTCCGTTTAAAGCGCAGAGAGCATCATGAAGAACAAGGAACACACCAGGCAGGACCGAGATACTGTTGTGGAGAAGTTTAAAGCCGGATTTGGATACAAAAAGATTTCCCAAGCTTTAAACATCCCAAGGAGCACTGTGCAAGCGATAATATTGAAATGGAAGGAGTATCAGACCACTGCAAATCTACCAAGACCTGACCGTCCCTCTAAACTTTCAGCTCATACAAGGAGAAGACGCAGGAGATGCAGCCAAGAGGCCCATGATCACTCTGGATGAACTGCAGAGATCTACAGCTGAGGTGGGAGACTCTGTCCATAGGACAACAATCAGTCGTATACTGCACAAATCTGGCCTTTATGGAAGAGTGGCAAGAAGAAAGCCATTTCTTAAAGATATCCATAAAAAGTGTCATTTAAAGTTTGCCACAAGCCACCTGGGAGACACACCAAACATGTGGAAGAAGGTGCTCTGGTCAGATGAAACCAAAATCGAACTTTTTGGCAACAATGCAAAACATTATGTTTGGCGTAAAAGCAACACAGCTCATCACCCTGAACACACCATCCCCACTGTCAAACATGGTGGTAATAGTAGTTTATCCTCTGGCCTGGTTCCAATGATGTTTAAACATGCCGTGGTGCGGCCGCTGATTAAGAAACCTGGTCTGGATCCCACAGTGTTCTCAAATTTTAGGCCCATCTCAAATTTGTCATTTCTCTCCAAAGTCCTTGAAAAGATAGTTTATACTCAGTTACTGGCTTTCTTAGATGAGCGTAATATTCTTGAGACTTTTCAATCAGGCTTTAAAACCCTGCATAGTACTGAGTCAGCCTTGGTGAAAGTCTTAAACGACATTTTTCTTGCAACTGACTCTGGACGGAATTGTGTGGTCCTAGTGCTCTTAGATTTGACTGCTGCTTTTGACACAGTGGACCACAATATTCTTATTTCTCATTTAGAGCACTGGGTGGGTATCCGGGGTATAGCTCTGGAATGGTTTTGATCTTATCTTAAGGATAGATCCTTCTGTGTGAAACTTGGAGATGCTGTGTCTTCCTCTGAGCCCCTTTTGCATGGGGTACCACAAGGCTCGGTCCTTGGACCCCTTCTTTTTTCCCTTTACCTTCTTCCACTTGATTCTATACTCAGGAATCACGGTGTTTCCTTTCATTTTGATGCGGATGATTACCATCTTTACCTACCGGTTAATAAGACGAGCTCTTCTGTTGGTACACTTCTTGAATGTCTCGATGACATAAAATCTTGGCTTGCTTTTAACTTTTTAAAGCTGAATGAGGATAAGACTGAGGTGATAATATTTGGTGATTCTGTTCCCCATCTATTGACTTGGGCTGACAGCAGTTTGAGATGCTCATTCATGGTTTTACTACCTCTCGTTTGGACTACTGTAATTCGTTGTATCTTGGGGTCGGTAAGTCTTCTATCACTCGCCTCCAGATGGTCCAAAATGCAGCAGCGCATCTTTTAACAGGTACGAGGAAATATGAGCATATCTCTCCAGTATTGGCTTCCCTACATTGGTTCCCTGTTCATTTTCATGTCCATTACAAAATTTTACTCTTTGTTTTTAAATCTCTTCATGGCTTTGCACCATCCTACTTATCTGATTTGCTTCATTGGCATACACCCACATGCTCTTTGAATAAAGCGTAAGCTTAGAGGCGATCGAGCCTTCGCAGTTGCTGGTCCCAAACTCTGGAATGACTTACTGATGTCATTATACAAGCCTCTACCCTGTCTGTTTTTAAGTCTCTTTTAAAAACTCATTTATTTTCCCTTGCATTTTGATATTTTATTTTTGTGTTGATTTAGTTATTTATTATATTGATTATATTTTATATTGTTTGTGGGTTTATAATTTATACTGTTTTATTGCAATGTACAGCACTTTGGTCCACTCTGGTTGTTTTTTAGTGTTTTATAAATAAAGTTGGTATGGTATGGTATGGTATAGTATGGTATGGTACACTGGTGACCAGTTAGGATTACAGGATTATTATTTGAGTTAATCCAAATTTAAAGACCCAGTCATCTACAGTGGGTACGGAAAGTATTCAGACCCCCTTAAATTTTTCACTCTTTGTTATATTGCAGCCATATGCTAAAATCATTTAAGTTCATTTTTTTCCTCATTAATGTACACACAGCACCCCATATTGACAGAA